CTCGTACTGCTGCTTAGTGAGACTAATGCCTTTCTTGGATGGACGCAGCACACCTGAATCCTGCAAATTCACAATAAAAAATCAATGCAATATTGTGAAAAAAAAGTAAGAAAAGGTCGACAGATGTTACGACAGAATCCACAAACTCTATCTGAATAGAATTCACGAATATCAACGAGCATCTTTCCTCTGTAATTTCTAGCCGTCACATATCGCATCCATCCCAATTCGAACATCTAGAAGTAACAACTTGAGAACACTGGCACAAATCGAATTATCCTAATATGAGACTAATCATAAGATCAAACTTCGTTAGCCAAGCTAGCATCACCTTGGCCTCTTTCCCTACTGAGAACTGAGAATATGGGTATGGGGATGCGATGAGTGTGTGTCGTAGGGCGCGGCCCTTCGCAGCAACCCTGCCATCGGGACGCATGGACTGTAATGGACTTTAGTGGTCTCGTCTGTGCCCTCTCGCTTTATTAGCAGTCTCACACGTTCAAACTTTTGCCACACTGTAATTGGCTTGCCCATCCTATAGACTCTCCCCCTCCAAGGCTCAGTCCTACGGCTCTTACCATCCTCCTTCAACTATTTTCTAGCAACTGTAAACTAACTCAGAGGTGGTTGTGTCTCGATCGTTTTGGAGTTGTGATACGCCCCACTTCATAGCAACTTGCAGTGCGTGACAACCATTCCTATGTGAGGTAAGTCCACCAATCATTTTTGTTAGGAGAGCAGTTTATCCAAGTTTCATTGTAGTTTTATGACCAGTGGTCTTTCATTCTCGGGCAAATTTGCTCTACTTGTATATTGAAAGATTGGTACAGTACTTTCGTTTCTTCTGCTATTTGATGAAAACTAGGCGATTATTGAAAAGGGGTCCATTGACGGAGCATTCCGCGATGTTTAATCCATAGTTCTCTGAAGTGAGGTTGAACTTATAACTTACAACTTGAACTTATATGCCCGAAACATGCGTTCAAAACAAGGTGAAGATGGTGGCCTGGGCGCGCTATTTTGGCCACTTAGGAATACATACTACACTAATCGGAGGTTCTTTCGCTGTCATGAGTTCAGTAACTCTCAGAGAAAACCTTCCGTTAGAATATCTTCCTCCTTTCCATTGCTCCGTAAAGAAGTAAGAGCATTGGGAGAACAATGACAGTGTTGTTATGATTAAAATCGCAGGGAGAAAATAATTTAAAAAAAGGTGAGCGACCAAGTTTAGGTTCAAGTTTTGCGATGATTGTCTATTGCGGTTCCGTTACAATGAATACCGTGTTCATTTAGATACGGAAAATGATGTTTTCAAGGCGAGCGATTCACTTCTAGTTGCCAACAGCACGCCTCATCCCAATCCCGATGTGTTTAGGATTTCCTTAGGTAACCCTAACCTCTTATTTGGCGAGTGCACCTTACAGCTAGCTTAGCACAGACGTTATCCTCCTCGTCATCGTAATATTAAATATGACATGCGCTATGCTAACATAAAAAACATCAAAAGCATCCAACCTCTTCTCCGTCGGCATTTCTCAAACGACTGCCCCCCTTCTTGGACTTCTTAACTGGTGTTGCATCTACCACACCTTCATCTGAAGACGAGTCACTTTCTACCTGGCGCTTCTTTGGCTGAATACGAAGAAAATATCAAAAAGGAGTAGGAGAACATGTTTCCCACTAACTTACCTTTTTTGCTTCCTTTTTCGAGTCAATAGTCGATTTGTCCTTCTCTGACTTCTTTTCCTCTAATTTCTCTCGCCTTCTTTGACTTCTTCTTCTCTGATTTCTTCTTCTTTTTTGACTTTTTTTCGTCAGAGGATGAAGAAGAAGAAGAAGAAGATGATGATGATGATGATGATGATGACGATGATGATGACAAAACCTAGGAAAAAAAGCCACTGCTTCATTACACAAATCGGTTCATTGAGTAAAGTTACCACTAGTAGGCAACGATGATATAGCATGTGTAAGACGAATATATAAAAAGAAAAGCGAATACAAAAAACACATGAAAGCAACTCTTTCAGCAGGTCTTTCGGAAAAGGAAGTGAACTGAAATGCTCATAAAATAGAAATTGGAATGAGTATAAGCTTTCAAAATTGCTTTTTAAATAAGCTCCTTAAATCAGTTTGATTTCAATAACCAAAGAATGGAACCCTGTTATTGAGGTTGCTCTACAATAGAAAATTTGAAATCCCAGCAAACTTGCGCCAACGGCAAAGTGAATGACATGATTACAAGAGCTCGACGCTTTTAACTGACATGTGCACAAGAATGTGGGTCCGGTAGGTCGGCAGACTTTACCATAACCCCTTGGCGTCAGATGAACTGTGTTGTGCAGATGAAATGTACACCACACCGCAATTCACACCAAAGTCGCGGTCGAGCTGACCTCGGGATTTCGGTGTTGGAATCCCAATTTCATTCGTCCGAAATTAGACGAACTTAAGTTCTATATTTTCACGGCAACCCAATCAGGGGCAGAAGGTTTATCGTTACTCGTATCGCCCTTCAAGAAGTCTGACAAATTGGTTGTACAAAGCAGAATACGACCCTATTGTCCTATATAATACAGGCAACACTGATACAGTGGTCCGTAAAAAGCTCACCAACACCTGAAATCGCGAAAGTGGAAACCGTTTTTCGATTAGGAATGAAATTCGTGGAAAACAGTAATTCCTGCGCCCGCTTAGAAGGAGGCTCTTCCATCTGTACAGGTTTGGTCTCAGCAGGAGGAGGAACTCCTTCCTAACCCGTCTTCACCTCCAGTGGGTAAGCAATATACCCACTGAAGACTAACGAAACTCCATCCAAAAACTCATTCAGGCCGATGTCAGACTTTGCGAATCGCGCGATTCGCTAGCGTTCGCGGTCGCGTTGCGGTACCAGCCAATTGAGTGGCTCACTGGATCGCGACGCGACCGCAGACGCTAGCGAATGCGTTCGATTCGCAAAGTCTGACATTGGCCTCAGCGTTTTTTTTTTCCTGTAGGTTGAGCGGCGATCGCCGACTTGTCAGCGTGAATATGCGGGTCGTGTTGTGGCATCTCATCTTTCACAACACAGTTTTATTTGACGCGCAAGAGGATTATGGTGAAGGTTTGCAGGTGCTAACTTAGTTGGGCGGGCAGGCGGCGGCGGCGTCCTGGCTCATCTGGCCTGGTTGGAAACTCGGCCAGGGGGAGTGTAGGCAGTCTAGGGGGGTGGGGGTGAGGGCAGTCACTTGACATGCGTGAAAAGCTGGAATGTTCGAGTTTACACTGTCTCGCTCGAGAGAGCTCAGGTGAGCAAACTGCCGCGCCGCCGCGTGCCCCCCCCCATTAAGTTAGCACCGGTTTGCCGACCTACTGAAGTTACATTCTTGTGACATGTGCTATGCTAATCCAAAAAGTATCCAACCTCTTCTTCGTCGGCATTTCTCAAACGACTGCCCCCCTTCTCGGACTTCTTCACCGGTGTTGCATCTACCACACCTTCATCTGAAGACGAGTCACTTTCTACCTGGCGCTTCTCCTGGCTGAATACGAAGATAAATATAAAAAAGGAATTGGAGAGACCATGCTTCCCACAAACTTACCTTTTTTGTTTTCTTTTGCGAGTCATGATCCGATTTATCCTTCTCTGACTTCTTTTCCTCTAATTTGACCTCCTTTTTTGACTTCTTTTCATGCGATTTCTTCTTCTTTTTTGACTTTTTTTCGTCAGAGGATGATGATGATGATGACATGATCTAGAAAAAAATTCAGTGCTTAATTACACAAGCGATCCTTGTTCATCGTCACTGCCAATGATGGAACACAATCGATGTAGCGTAATTTACTACATTCTCAAATGAAATCGGTTCATAGAGCAAAGCTACCAGTAGTAGGCAACGATGATATAGCAAAGTGTAAGGCGAAAATATAAAGAAAAGCGATTCAAGACAAATATGAAAGCAACTCTTCAAAGCAGCATTTTTCCGAAAGAGAAGTGGGGTCTATTCCAGTTAGGGGGGCATCATGATGCAGTTTCTCGGCGAACTAGTGTGAACTCGAACATTCCAGCTTTTCACGCATGTCAAGTGACTGCCCTCACCCCACCCCTAGACTGGCTACACTCCCCTGGCTCGGAGTTACCCTAGCTTTCTGGAAAAACTGCATCATGATGCCCCCTCCCTCCCCTAACTGGAATAGACCATTGAGAAGAGGAGTGTGGCTCAAGCGCCAAGAAAAACACAAATCGCTAACATCCTCCCAAGAAACGCTTCCCTCCCTAGGGCGTGGCTTACTGGGCGCATGCGTAGTAAGTCGTCCAACAGCAACGACGTAAATGTCGCACAGTATTAGATGCGTATCGATCGTCAGAAGTGCGACACTTACGATCGTTGCTGTCGCACAACTGTTACGATCGCATGTGTCGCTCAATCGGCACGTATCTACTGTTCTATAGTTGAACAATTGGACTTTAGAAATACCGTGCCGCGCAGTCACGTGTTGTTTGGGTTTGCCCTGGGTCACCGCGTCGCCTCCCCTGTGCGACCGCGGCTTATGCGCTCGTTACGATCGGACGATGCGCCCAAAGCGTAAGACTCGCCGCTAAAGCGTACACCGGAAAAAACTCAGGACGAGTTCTCCGGACGAGTTTTTCGCGCTATTACGGTTTGAATTTCAGGTTACTGTATTGTTCGTCGCGGGACCAACGGCTCTAGCCCTCCATTGTCGATCGATGACGGCTTTTTTTCGTTGACAAAGGATTGATTCAACTGTGAGCGATGCTATTTTGCTGCGGATTCCTGCTGTTCTGCTGTATTCGGGTTCTGTTCTACACTGCTGTATTCACTGCTACTGTATTCTTCAGATCTACTCTGCTTAAACCCCATTATCTTCGTCTCTCCCTCAATAAGATTTTCCCCAAGTTCGCCCCTACCTCTGAATTCCTCTGTTTTGCCCACATATTCACTTCTTTATTACTGCGGCTACTACTAATCACTGAAACGCTGATCTTCTGCCGCTGCTAACCAACGTGAGTTTATATCTTTTGTGAATAACTTTGGTCGCCTTCTTTAGATTTGCTCTCCTTTGACACCCTTGACAGATTTTCCGTTTCTATCTTCACTTCGACATCTAATTTGGTTTTCTCCTTGTTTACATCAAATTGCCAGTGTAGGATTGAAAATGGGTGGAACGATTATGATTCCAACCCTTTTCATTTTTGCGCTGGCTGAAGAAGGAATCATTTTAGTCTTTTCGTCGTTCTAGTTTCTCAGAAACATTTTTAACTAGCAATCATCCAGCCCCGCGCCATTACTTCTGGGCTAATATTTATATAGTTTGCTGAACTTTCAATTCTTCACGGCGGAGTTCGACTTTCATCATCCTTTACTCCAATTGTTTTCATTGACCTAGAACACTTCTCTACTCTCTACTCGGCTATCCGCC